GGCTTTGAACATAGGGACCACATTTTCTTATCTCTCCTGTTCCAGTGGAATTCTCATAAGCATAGCAGGATTTCTCATTCAACAGTTCAAGACGATTGCTTCAACCCAGAATTTCCAAAGATGATGCGTAATAAAGTCCCTTGTTGCTCTAAAAAGGTTCTCTGGTTAATGATGCCAAAGTCAAGCTTCTTGTATGTCTCCAGGGACTTCCTGGCATTGAGTCAGCTACTTCTTAGTCTCTCTGACTCAATCTACCAGCTCACTGGCTCTATTCCCAGCTGCCTTCCTCGGATTTGATTTACTGAAGGATCCTTTCCTGAGATAATGCTAACAGCAAGCTAGTAGCCATTGAGAAAGTTAAGTGGACAAATGATTGCGTGATCAGGATTAGCAAAGATGAAAGAAACTGCTAAAAAGTGTGCATGCTTTAAAATGATTCACAAGCAGACATTAGAAAAATGTTCTGAAGATTTGTCTACAGGGGCTTTTGGAGCCTGGGTAAACAAACTTACTTGTTTTCATCCAGTTTCCTAGATTTAAGACTATATATCCCAGAGTGGAGCAGTTGTGGTACATCCTCTCTTCATGGGAATCACCTGAGTTAAGTTGTGTCAACTTCTTGACCGAGAGCTCTAGGATACAAGCCAAGAGCGTAATAATCACTCCCTAAATTCTCTGATGCTTTTGCCTCTTTCTTACCAGTCCCTTGACTTACTTTCTCCCTTTCCTCTCTTCATGGCTTTCTAAAACATTTATTTTACTTCTTATCCTTCTCATCTCACATCTTTTTTTCTATTCCAGAACTTTCTGGTAATGCTACGTCCTCCGGGGTGATTAGTTTATATTGGTTCTCTAAGATGTTTAAATGGGCTGCTCAGATGTACCTTTTCTTTTCTGACCTATTGATAACTTAAAACCAATGGAAAGCTGAATTTTCCAAAGCTTGCATTTTGTATGAACCATACAACCAAATTATCACAACCCTGTAAAATGGGTTTTGTTTTCTCCACAATGAAGATAGAAAACTTGAAATTAAAAGGTGAAATATTTTTCAAAACTTGCATAACTGGAAACTAGTGGATATGTGACAGGGTTCCACATATGTGTGTTTCCAAGGAGCTCTGCTCCACCTCTGCTGCTTCCCCTTGTCCTTTGGCACAGATCTTGCATTTCAACAGGGTCTGGAAAGGTTGAGGAATCTTATATTATCACCTAAGTGGGTAAGAACATCAAGTGCTGTTTTTTAATCTTTATGGGGTAAATCACCTCTATATCCTGAACTCTCAAGATTTGTCTTGTTTTGAAGAAAGAGGATCACAAGTTCAAAGTCAGCCTCAGCAACTTAGTGAGACCCTAACCAATTTAGTGAGACTCTGTCTCAAAATAAAATATAAAAATGGGCTGGGGATGTGGCTCAGGGGTTAAGTGCCCTGCATTCAATCCCTGGTATCCACTCCCCCACCCCTCCAAAAAAGAAAAGCAATTAAACAGTTTTTTAAATTATATATTTAAATACATAATTTGTGCATTTGGAGAAAGCATTGATTAGGGTAAATGGAGTATATTTTAATCAGCATAGCACTTCATCATTAAATTCACATCTCAAACTTGATGACTTATAATAACCACTGTAGCTGTTTTCTATAAATTATGTGTTTTAAGGAATACCATTTAGCTTTAATTTGAATTTCCCTGGTGAATAAGGCTGTTATTAAAACTTAGTCATTAAATTTGCATGTGAGGGGAGGTGTTATTCAAGAACTTTAAAAGCATATTTAATTTTGAAAATTTTAAACATATAGGAAAGCTCAAAGCCTAGTATGATAAAACTTTCACTTAGATACATGAATTGTTAATATTTTACTTACTGGGTGTACTTTATTTATCTATGTAACTCTGTGTCTGTATATCTACATGTTTTGTCTGGCGGAATCATTTGAAAGTAAGTAATGTCACCATGATACTTAAGTATTCATCCCTGAATACCTAAACATTCATCTCCTACAAATGGATTCCTCCTACATTACCACAATCCCAATGCCAACCTAAAACAATTAACAATAATTCAATGATGTCTAATAAAGAGTCTGCTTTCTAACAGATGGGATTTGAAGCCTTTTGAAACAGAGATAATGCTTCTTTGTCCCCTAAAATGGTGTTTCAGCTCTAAAGAATTCTTATAGCATAATTATTTTCACACTATGTCACGGGCAGCCTCACTATATCACTCACAATCATAGGGCAAATAGGGCTGCTCTAGGATGTCCTGGATGTGAGGTCACAGGCTTTGTTATTTGGTGTTCTAATTGACAAGCTGGAACTGAGAACACTATAATGATTTCAGTTCCTGTGTGGTATATACAGCTTGTCCTGACTCATGTGGAAAAGTCTTGTCCACATCTTTGTCAATTAATTGCACAATAGGAATGACTAATTTGTATATAAATCTGATGCATTCTCATATTTGTAATAACGTCTACTTTCAGAGTTTTTTTTTTTTTAAATAAAGCATTGTAAAATAAAACCAAGCAAAACATCTCCCTTAATCTATACCAGAGCATATGGGGTATCTCATTGGTCAAGGAAGCAGGATTTAGAACAAAATCAGAACACACTTAGAAAATGGGTGTAATTTATCTTGGAAACCTCTCACTTTGATACTTTCCTTCTTAAGTGTTTTTCCTGCTTTTAGGAACTTTATACTGATTGTTTAGAAGCTCATATCTTTGTCACATAGACTGAATTGTCTTCAAAATCAGCCCCACCCTGCTGTCATTCATTTATATGTTCTACTATCACATTTGGATCAACTCCTATGGGCTAGTTACTATACACATTGTCCTTTTTTGATTCTGAAATGGACAGTCCACAGGGAGCTTTTCCTTTGGGTAAGAATCATTCATTTTATTACATAACGGTGTTAATATTTAAAAACAATCCTTTTGTATTAGGTTTCCAGAATTCTTTATTTTAAAATTTGAATTATGATTGCATAAGCCAATAATGGTGACATGGCAGCCATCAGACACAGTCAAAATAGAAATTTTCATTTTATTTTTTAAAAATTTCTAAAAATTTTCTGAGAATCTCTAAATAACCTTACGGAAGGGACCTGCAGAATCAAGCAAGTTACTAACATTGCCTTTTATCATAATGCTGTTTGTACACATGGTTTTGCTTTGATTCAAAGTTGGGATTCTCTCTGCAGTTCATAGAATCTCTGGATTCAGTCAGTTGATCTATATTTGGAGGTAGCCAAAAGAAGGTTTTTTGATATATTCTGGTTCTGAAATCACACAACACTTGCCTCACTCATGGCTGCTGTGAACCTTTGCCTGAGTTCTCTTCACTGTTGCTTTCCACTGGAGATAAATCTCAGGATGTGCCTCCATGTCTAAAGAGTGAAACAGGAATCATTTCCTCTAAATCCAGTTCCCCCCAAATGAAACAATTGCCCAGGTATTGTCTACAAATCATCATTTTGTACTGTTAATGTTGAATCTATCATGATGTTAAATCTTAACATGATTTTCTGCTTCTCCCTTAAAGTATTCATCTCAATGTTGGCTCTGCAAGATGAACAGTTTTATCACTTATGGATCTGAAAGCAGTGCCAAAAGCCAGTGAATTACCGACTGAGATTTCAGGTAACTGGGTTTTGTTCTTCACCAGGACTGGGAGGCTCAACTGCTCAGTCATCCAACAATAGAAGGGCTTTCTTTCTTCACAGATGAACTAGATGAAGTAGTATTGAATTAGAACAGAAAGAAGGCAAGAGTATTGAACAGTTGTCTTGACACGCAGGTGAACCCTAGAGTACTAGTTGTACATACTGCATTGTAATATGGAAAATACATACAAGTAAAAAATGTCAGAAAAATAGTTTAGGTAACGATATGGAGCCTTAAAATCTAGCATGATGGCTTACACAGGAGTCGTGACTTCATATAGTATTGCATTTGTGAGTTTTAGGAAGGGCATGGCATTTCTAACCAGAATATTGTTCTAAAACGGGAATCAGCTTCTCATAATTTCATGGTAAGCATAGAAATGCTCACAAATACCCACCTAAATATCCCTGGGCATTATGATTTAGGCTACCATTTTTTAAAAAATTCATTATTATTGTATACATATATTTTAAAATTAAATGATAATATGACGTCAGTAAATAAAATGGTAAAATTTAAAACAAGAAAAATCCCTAATCTAAATTCCACATTGTCTAAATTCCTTATTGTTTTCCTATACTCCAGTGGTTTCAAATTCTTCACCTTGGCTCCTATTCCCATGATTGGTCAAAAAATTGGGTCAAAACCCCAATTTTTTTAGATGTTGATGGACCTTTATTTTATTCTCTAATTTATATGCGGTGCTGAGAATTGAACCCAGTGCCTCACACTTGCTAGGCAAGCGCTCTACCACTGAGCCATAATCCCAGCCCTGGAACACTAATTTTATAACCATCAATACCTTTGTAATTTCTTGTAGTCACGCAGGCACGCTCACCCACATACATGTAGACCTCTGATGACCTCATTTAAACTTACTGAAAAAAAAAATGAAGGAATGAAGTAGGAACTCCCTTCACTTCTTATACTCTTGACTTTCCCTTCTATGTGGAATAGTGCCCCTGTTCCTACTTACATCATTTTTATCTAGATTTAATCCTCTTTCCATTACTTAGGCAATTCATTCCTGAAAAGTTCCTTTCTCCCATCGGAAATTCTCCTGAAGTGAATCACTCTCAGCCCCATAAAAAATACTCTAGCTAAAAAAAGATTATAATAAATAATAACATGGTTGATTTAGAATATCAGTGGCATGATAATGAGCAGAAAGTTAGCTTTTAAATATCTGAATGTATTTGGGGGGTAGTGTTGAGAAGATAATTATGGAAGATAAGAACTGGGTGCTGTAGTAACTAAGGGGTATGGGGGTATTAAAAGCTTTTTGATTTTTGATTTTTTTTTTGTATTCCAGAGATAACACTTCTCTATATGGCAATGAAAAACTCCAGTGCTCTCAGTGAGTTTATTCTTCTCGGGCTGTCGTCTGACCCCTACATTCAGGCTATACTCTTCGTGTTGTTGCTTCTGATTTACCTCCTCACTCTCATGGGAAATTTCTTGATGCTGCTGGTGATCACAGCTGATTCTAACCTCCACACACCCATGTATTTCTTCTTGAGACAACTGTCCTTCTTAGACCTCTGCCACTCATCTGTCACAGCACCCAAGATATTGGAGAACATGCTCTCTGAAAGCAAAACCATCTTTGTAGAGAGCTGCTTTGCTCAGGCCTTCTTTGTGTTTGCCACTGGTGGCACTGAGGCCTGTCTGCTGGCTGCGATGGCCTATGACCGCTATGTTGCTATCAGCTCCCCTCTGCTCTATGGCCAGGTAATGAGTAACCAGCTCTGTGTTGGGCTTGTGTGGGTCTCCTGGGGCCTGGCCTTTGTTGATGCTCTCATCAATATCCTGCTGGCTGTTAACTTAGATTTTTGTGAGGAGCAAACTATTGCCCACTTCAGTTGTGAGCTGTCTTCTCTCTTCCCTCTGTCTTGCTCTGACACCTCTGCTAACTTCACCCTCCTGCTCTGCTCCTCTGTCTTTCATTTCTTTGGAACCCTTGTCATGATCGTTTCTTCCTATGTCCGCATTGTTTCCACCATCTTGAGGGTCAGCTCCACTACCGGCAGAAGCAAGGCCTTCTCCACCTGCTCCTCCCACCTCACTACTGTGATCTTGTTCTATAGCTCAGGTTTCATCAGCTATCTCTTACCAACCTCAGGTTCCTCCCTGGAAATGATCTTCTCCTTGCAGTACAGTGTGATCACTCCTATGCTGAATCCCCTCATCTACAGTCTGAAGAACAAGGAGGTGAAGGCAACTATGGCAAGAATATTCAGAAAATATTTTAATCCTCTCCTGTAGCAGACACAAAATCATGATGAAACAGACCCTGAACTCTGATGCTACTTTAAAGAGAATTTCTTCATTGTCCATGAGAAATGCCACCAGGAACTCAATGCCTTTTTCTTTTTTGGAAATGGTTGCTTGGAGGACAAGAGAACTCTCAGGATTATCAGTCTTATTCAGAGAAGGAGAAATGAATTAGCTCTCTTTTTCAGGGGATTGTTTTATTAAAATGTTGATTTATTTTTCATATCTATGTAAACATCCATTGCTATTTGTGGCTCTTTATTCTGTCACGCTTCTGATAATTACAACCACAAAAACCTTAAGAAAGCTTGATGATCTCAGATTCATATGGTGATCAAGCGGGGTGATCCTATAACCCAGGGTAGGTTAACCATTCTACCCCTATTTCCTGACAGGATATTGCAAAAAGTGAAACGAAGATTCAAGCAAGGCTATTCAGAATCTTTCTGTAGGAACTCTGACTATTGAGTACAAACCATCAAAAAGCAAGTAAGCATTGGAATAAAATCAATCTACCTGAGGGTCCTAAACAAACTATGAATACTGTTTCCTGGGCAATTGTTCTTCCTGGGGTCATATTTGTAATAAAAATAGAAACAATGGCAAATTCTTAACTGGTGCCAAGAAATGTAGTAAAATCCTGTGGTAGAATGATGTCAGCTTCCTAATCCCCAGGACCTAGAAATATGCTATTTTACATGGCAAAAGGAACTGAGAAAAATGTAATCACAATTATAAAATAGGAAGGGCATCCTAGATTATATGGATGAATTTTATCTATTCATATGGATACTAAAAATTTGTGAACTTTTTCCAACTGTAGGTAGAAACGATAAGTTCCGAGTTAATGTAAGCAGGAGAAGGATTCAATCCATTGTTGCTGGCTTTCATGACAGAGGAGTCTGTGAGCCAGGGATCGTGGGCAGTTTCTAGTAACTCCAATAAGACCAGCCATCAGTCAGCAAGGAAACAGAAATCTCGATTCATGGAATTTGTGGCACTGAATTCTGCCAACACCGTGAATGAGCCTAGAAGTGTTTTCTCCCCAGATCCTCCAGATAAGGCCTGCTGACAACTTGATTTGGCCTCATGTAACTCAGACAGAGAAAATGGGTAAGCCCATCGAGACCTCGAACCTAAAGCACTGTGAGATAACACATTTGTGGCATTTTAAGTTACTAAATTTGTAATAATTTGTTGTGGCAGCATCAGAAAGTGAATACAACATCTTACTTTTATTATAATACTTAACCATCTCAACAAGTATATAGTTATGTTTTTAGTTTTCCTTTACTGATGAGAAAATGAGACGCAAGATGTGTGTATGCCTGTCCAGGGAATCACAGCAAGGAAATGGTGGAGCTGGAATTTAAGTTAGGTAGTCTGAACTAAGTTATTCTCTCAGTTACTGAAATGCCCCCTCCATTAGTTTACAAGGCTCCAACATCATTTCCGTAGTTATGTACTATCAGATTCAGGTGCTTTCAACCAAAGAATGGTAACTGATCTTGAAACAGGTCTTAAAGGTGAGTGGCAGGCAACAGAACGAAGTATTTAGAATTAGACAGTGATGTGTTCTACTCTTCCTCTTCTATTTTGTAAAACTATCCTGTCCCCCTCCCCACAATTTCTCTTCTCCCTCTAATCAAGCTGTCCACAGTCAATTTCTCTTCTTACAATTGGTTTTGGAATTGAAACTAAGTTTTGTTTGTAGGCAATAACTCTCAGGGAAATGAGGACATGTGGAATTAATTATTGTACTGAGATGTACAAAAAGAAGTGAGTCATCCACTTTTACTGCTGATGGTATATCATTGCCACTCTTCTACTCAGATGCATGATTGCCTGATACCATAAATATTGTGCTAATCCTGTGAATAATGGGAAGTTACTAAAATTAAGCAAGTCTAAGAGAATGAGGAAGGCCAAGACTATAGGGGGTTCAATTTTTAAGACAATGATTTCATTTCTTGGTTTTTGACCTTAAGGTGCTGAAAGAATACCTGTCTTTCTACAGAGATGTAAAGCAGAGGCTGTTATGGTTTTGACCTGGAATGCCCCCTGCAAGAGCTTGTGTGTTGAAAGCTTGGTCCCCAATGCAGCAAGGTTGAGAGGTAAAATGATTAGCTCATTAGGTTGTAACCTCATCAGTGTATTAATTCATCTGATGGATTAGTAGTTTGGATGGTTATTGTAGGCAGGTAGGGTGTGGCTGAAGGAAATAAGTCACTGGGTGCATCCCCTTGGGGACTATATCTGCCCTTGGTCCCTTCCCCGACCCCTCTTTCACTCAAGCTTACTATGAGCTGAGTGTCTTTTTTCCACCTGGCCTTTTCCACTATGATGTTCTACCTCACCTCAGGCCCAGACAATGGAATCTGTTGGCCAGGGACTGAACATTTGAAACCATGAGCCAAAGTAAACTTTTCCTCCCCTAAGTTGCTCTTGTCAGGTATTTTTGTCACAGTGAAGAAAAACTGACTAACACAGAAGTTTTACAAAACTAACTCTGAGTTAGATTCAGTTATCTGCTCAGTTACAACACTAGTTGAATTTACTGTCACCCCAAGTCATTTATGGGAGCACTGGATGTTAATGAGAGAATGTTATCATTTCAACAAATGCAATAATGGCATCTTAGAGAATTTGGAGGACCTGGAGAACCATGGACTTCCAAGCGTCTCTAAAACCGCCATGCCTCCTTTGCCTCAGCATGCTGTGGCTCTCTAGTGCAAGAGAGCTGGTCACTCCTCTCACACTGCATGTTCCTCCGCGTTGCTCAGTTAAGGTTCAGGATTCAAAAGTAACATAAACTGAAGGGTAAATTGGAATTACAGAAGAAAATAACTAAATCTGAAAGAAATAATAGAAATAGATTAATTTTTATATCCAATAGCCTAGGAAGAATTTCTGGGAATAGATTTTATTTTTCTCAACTAGGAGAGCAAATTTAATTTCCATGTATTTTAGTGTTTTTCAAATAACTTTTTAAATATCTACATTCATTTATATAGACATCATTTTACCCAAATACTTGAATGGAATCATATTATTCAATCTATTTCTTGGCATTTTTTTTCCTTGACTTGCTGCCTTTTCCACCTCTTCTCCTACTTACGCTCACTCAATGTAACCCACATTAACCACAGAGTAGATCTATTTCTTAGCTTGCTCTGAAATATATGCATGTTCAATCATCTGTACATATGTGTGCATGTAAATATGTACACATATATGAGATTTTCATTCTCTATTTTAAAAATCAAGATAAGACTCATTTGTCCTTGCTTTTCTCATTCATTAATATTATGTAAAACTTACCCTGAGTCAAATGGCATAGGCCTAAGTTTATATTGTCATTATAAAATCCCATCTTACAAATGTGCCATAGTTTCGCAAACCATTTACCTAAATTTGGACTTATTTTCTCACATTTTCAAATTGTTACAAGCAATGCTGCAATAAACATTTTTGAGAATATAACTTGCAGTTTTAGTGTCATTATTCTCTGGGGTTGATTCCCAGAAATATGGTGATGAGTTCTATGCATATTTTAAATTTTCTCTTGCCAAATTGTTTTCCAAGTGTGCTGTAACACTTTATATCCTTATCAAAAAAGTAAAAGAGTGCCCTTTAGCCTTTGGTGACCCTGCAGTGTGTTATAATTCTTTACAAAGATATTTCATTTATATTTCAATTTGCAAACCTCTGACCACTAGGAAATGCTAAAATCTTGACATATATTGGTTGACCATTTGTGTTTGCTATTTGGCAAATATCATATCCACAGTCCATTTTTCTTGCTGTTTTGTGATGGATATATTAATCAGCTGTATTCTATGCAACAATTTTTTACCTGTTATTTGCTTATTTTTATTTATGGAATCTTTGGTCCTGCAAAAGTTTGGGGTTTTATATATTCATTTATAATTTATTTTCTTCAAACATTGAGTATCTTTCACCATCTTGGTAAGATCTGTTGCACTTTTGTACTTCTTCGACTTCAATTTTTTATTTTTAACATTTAAGCCTATAAAAATTTGGAATTTGTGTTTGTACTTGTGTGAGATAGATGTCCAACTGCATTAGGTTATGATGGACAGCAAGTTATGACCTCAATATTTCACAAATAAGCCCTTCTTTTCTAGCTTAATTAAAATAACAATTGAGGTGAGTGAGTATACCTGGGGTCTGAAGAAGCATGGAGACATATATATTTTAATTGTGATTTTATTTTATTTTATTTGACACATAATTTCTCAATCCACCCTAACACATCACTTCTGTTTTCTACTTGGATTGGTGGACATCTGGAGAACATTTTCACTAAGATTTCTAGAAGTTTATTAGCATATGTCTTTGTTCTGAAGTGGTTTTAGTTGCTTCTTTCAAAGTGGTGCTGGAGACTGGTCATACCAGTGGGTTCATGTTAAATAGAAATATTGACACCTAGATATTCACCTTGCCCAAGGTACTGAGTCAAGAAAGCAGCTCACTAAAATTGCTTTGTATAATAGTAGAAGAGGGTAAAACCTCCTGCAGATGGGCAGAAATTCAAGCAATATGAAAAAGCAAGAGAATAAAATGCCCTCCCTAGTTGACAGCACTTCAACAACTGACCACAAAGGCACTTCTGTAGAGGAAATGCTGGAAAAATAATTTAGAAAAGTAATGATTACAATGATCAATGAACTAAAAGAAGATTTAAGAAACAAATTAGGAGAAAATACAGGAAGTTAAAGAACACTTCAATACAGACATAAGATTCTGAAAAAGAAGCAAGCAGAAATCCTGAGAATGAAAGACAAAATAAATCAAATTAAAAATTCAGTCGAAATTATCACCAGTAGATTAGCCACATATAAAACAGATTTCTGGGCTTCAATGACAAGGTATATAGAATTGAAAACATAGCAATAAAGAAAAGATGATGTGTGACCATGACCAGAATATTCAGAATATCTAAGACAACATTAAGATACCAAATATAA